GCGGGGGGGGGGTGTTTACGGGGAAGGAGGGAAGGGGCTCACTGTTGTATTCGTGGCGGAGATGGACGAGGGTCTTCTTGAGCTCGTGCTCGATCTGCTTGAAGACGTGGAAGGATTCCTCCTTTGGGGCGTGCGCTTCCCCGAGATCGACTGTGTCCTCGGTCGCCTGTGGAGTGAGAGAGCACGGGTTGATGAGATTAGCACTGCGAGCGTGCCATTTCGGGGTCGCACTTCCTTACCATAACGAAGCTGAGATGTTGGCTTGCCGTGTAGTGTAGTTAGTTGTTCAATTCGGTGGATTGCTTGCTTGCGTCAGTGTGTGGTGGGGGATGTGGTCCATGGAATCGTTCGTGATAGGGAGGGGATGGGTTTGATGAGGGGTTAGCTATGAGGGACATGGGGTATCAAACACGGGGTTCAATTGCGTCAGCGTGGTATAACAAGCTCGACAAGGGAGTGCGCACTGGGCTATATTCATGGAGTATATGGCAGCTGTCTGCGTGACGTAGTTGAATACCAAGTATTCGTATACTAGTGTCAATTGGCTTATATGTTACACCTTGGCACCGTAGTGAAACTCTTGCCGTTGAGACACTGGCTCGGTAAATCGGAATGATAAGCCGAGGCTCGTCTTCCAATCATACTGCGGGATGGATTATATCACATGGCAATGCATAGCTCTTACTTGCTTTTGGGACAGTGAACGAGTGCTTAAACCGACGCTTGTTGTTGGTGGATGGGACCTCCGAACCAGTACCTTCCTGTACTTGTTAGTAATCGGGCTGGACGCGCGTCGATTGGATCTCGGTGGCATCGGCAGATTCCACTTCCGCGTGCCCGGAAAAGGGGTGGATCCGCTTTTTGCGTTGCCGGCGCTGACTGCTGCGCGACCGACCCGCGAAAGCCGGCAGCTTTGCCGTATAAGAAGCCGAGTTTCGGCCTTTTTCTTGCCCCAGCCTGGAGAATGTCTTCTAGGTTATCCTTGGCCGTACGGCGCCCTACTCGCGCCTTGTTACGAGCGACTCCTACCCGTTATAGCCAGACGCCCCTTGCCCGGTCAATCGCAACAGCTGCTGGTAATCTTGGCTAACCCCCATGTGCCGCGATAACTGACTGATTTTCTGGCTTACGCCTGCTCATCAGAACCAAGCGCCGCGTCGCAAAGCGTCAAGAAAGGCTCCTTCTTTGGTAGGGCAGCCTCTATCGCCGGTCGTATCGCGCTCTTCACCACACTGGGCTTCATCATGACGGTGGCTCCAGCCTACGACTCGGTATCCGCCATCCTCTCCCCCCCGAGCAATGCCGACACACTCGAGTCCTTCGTGCCCCAAGATGAAGACGCCAAGGCCAAGGAGGACTATATAAATTCGCACCCGCTTGCGCTCTCCCTACGAGCAGACCCCGACCTCATAGAGTCTCGCCCGTCCGAGAAAATCCCCGCGTCATGGCGCAAGCACAACCTGCTGTCCGGTTCCCTTGCCGGACCCGGTAAGATAGCCGTTCCACCATTTAGTTGGACGGAGCGGGAGGGCAAGAGCTACGTGCAGATCACGCACGTCGGGACGGATTTGTGCGGCCACATGGGCATAGTCCACGGGGGCTTCTTGGCCGCCATGCTCGATGAAGGGCTCGCAAGGTGCTGCTTCCCGGCCCTGCCCTACAACGTAGGCATGACGGCAAAGCTGGAGATCAACTACAAGGCGCCCGCCATGGCCGATCAGTACCTGGTACTCCGGGGTACCACCGTCAAGGTGGAGGGCAGAAAGGCCTGGGTCGAGGGCCATATCGAGACCCTGCCGGCGGAAGAGGGCCAAGAACCGACCATTTTGGCGACGGCCAGTGCGCTCTACATCTCACCTAAACAAGCACCAGTATGTACCCCAGAATCCCTCTTCCGGCCACTCCCTCGAGGGCTCGATCAGAGTTGTTTCGCTAACTGGGATGCGCCCGCAGTTGATGGCTAAGGTCTATCCGGTGAGCTAGAAATAGAACTAGAACTAGAACTCGTGGTGATCTCGAGACCCTGTACATGTACCGGCCAGCAAGGGTCAGCTCGATTTTACACTCCCCTGTTTCTCTACTCCCTGTTGTTTGGCCGAATGCCGCCAATTGCAAGCAATGCGGGAAGTGGGGACCAATGGGTAATAGACAAGAACATATGAGATGAGAGATTAGATGAACATGCAACTTATGGCGAGACCAATTTTGAGGGTTTTGTCTCGGTGTAGTTGCGTGCCATGCTGTCGAGTAAAGCTGAATATGGCAAAATATCGAATTGCCTCCCAATCCGGAAGAACAAGAGGGACAAGTGGGGTCGCCAGTTTCGTACTAAAATGACGCCATTTGCTGCCGTGCGGGTTGGTGGGGTCGTCTCGCGTGGTGCCCCGCGCCGGACCGGAGGTTGGACGACACCGACGAGTCGCATCACTTTTTCAGCGGAAACCGTGGGCTCAACGGAACCCGACTTCGAGACGAGAGACCCGGCGTTGCCCACACTGCTGATACCACTGCGCCCCGTTATACACCCGCTGCGGCCCATATATCCTGGAATTTTCTTACGTAGGATCTGAATTAAACTTTAACCGTTTCACCCCCTCCTTGGTCCACCGTCAAGGCTATTTACCTCTCGTTGTCAGGTGACAGGTGTTCGTTGCTCTGCCAGATCAGACAACCGTGGAATATATATCTCAACTCTCAAGGTTAGCGGCGGCTTAGCACATACCATGGCTACGTAAGTCCTTTTTTCTGTCTGGTGTCATGGCTTGGTTGCCAGGGCATGCCAATTGCGAGAAAAAAAAAAGCCCACTCCTAACCACCCGCGCAGCAACATCACCTGGCACCCGTCGCTCACACGGGCACGAGCGCAACCAGCTGCGCGGCCAGCGCGGCTTCACCGGTGTGGTTCACGGGCCTCTCGGCCTCGGGCAAGTCGACCGTCGCGACCGCCCTCGAGCAGCACCTGCTCCACATCGGCGTGGCCGCCTACCGCCTCGACGGCGACAACGTGCGCTTCGGCCTGAACAAGGACCTGGGCTTCTCGGAGAAGGACCGCAACGAGAACATCCGACGTATTGCTGAGGTATGAACCCCCCCCCCCCCCCCTGGAAAAACCCCTCTTCCCCCTCCCAGTGTTTGCCAGCCTTGGAG